TGTGACCACCTCCGTGGCCTCTCTGTGCTCCAGAGGACTACATCACTTCCCAAGTGACATTTTATCAGCCGCAGCATGGCCATCGAGGTTATAAAAGCAGATCTCTGTCTTCCCCCATTCTGCCTGTCTCCCATAACCTGCCACACTTGGCAAGGCAGCCTCTCAAATTATATTCTTCCAGATCTAAATCTAATACCACTGGCAAACGTCTTCACAGCAGGCTCTGCAGAAACCTCTCCTACACGCAGCTGTCTGTGGTTCCCCTGTGCCTTCACCATCCTTAGGTGATGGAGCACACTTTGCTGCTTCCACCTCAGCAACACAAGAGCGAGTCACAACGCCGAGGCTCCTGGAACATTTTGTTTGAGGTATCTCAGTATCGCACGGTCTGTAACTGTGCTCTTTCCAGAGCTCAGAGTGGATCATCTCCTCAACTGCTCTGCTCCCTTTGGCTCATGGCCCTCCATTTGGAGACCTGACTTGCTTTTCCCAACTTGAGTTCAATATTAATAGTGATTTATTATGTTGAATTTTAAACCATTTATAATTAAGTTTCATTAATACCAGTTTGTACTTGAAACAATTCAAAATAAGATTAATTGCAAAATATTAGGTAATGTGAAAACTCCCCAGCAAGGGCCAAAGGTCTGTGACTGCAATGTCAACAGCTCAATGGAAAAGAGCCTGAGTTTGACTGGCTGCATGCATCTCTATCCTCTGAGGACTTCAAACGTCGACAGCGCCAAACTCACCGCAACAGAAATTTTTATGAATGCTTTGGAGGCAGAGGAACTGACCTTGCCCAGAGAACTTTCCATGGTGAAAATGCATTATTCCATAATTAAAATCAAGAAATCATTTCTAACTTGATTGGATTAATGAATCAGCTTTAAACAAGGAGCTCCACTGTCCCCAGCGTATTCTCTGAAGTCTCCTGGTTTGTGATGAGGTAACCTCCACTCTGAGAAAGCAATCTTCCTCTACATCTGTAAATCCCTGGAGGCTCGGTGCGCTTTTACTTGTGGTAAAATAAAGACCTTACTTCTCACGTATACTTTCACTGACAGTATGTTACTAAGTGATATGGTGCACGGTAATTATTTTTAAAGAGCCTAGATAACCTGGACATAGAATATAAAAAGTTTAAAACATTGTTATTATGAAACATACAATATAGTCAATAGAAGAGAGTGTGAGCTACAGACCAAAATGCTAACCAGAGTTACTTCAGTGTAATAGCTTCAACAAGCACAGGTTATCAAAAGCAATAAATACTTTGAGAAGAAAGATCATTTGCCCCTATTTACGACACAAAGTAGAAAGCAGCAGAACGTGCTGTGTTGTGAGGATTACGTATGTGCAGAATCAAAGTCATACACACAAAACAAAACGACACTGGATCTGAGAAGCACTGGCATGGGGGATCTCTCCCTTCCATTAGTGTTTGGATGTTATCCAGGAAGAAAAGGAAGGGGCCCAGCAAGCACTAAGCCGAACCCTCGAGGAGGACCAGAAGTAAGACACTGGAAGGACAGAACTACTGTGCACCGCGCGCACGCACGCACGCACGCACGCACGCACGGTGGTGCCTCACCACTGCACACACAGCCCACGGTCCTGGGAAGGGCACCCTGGTTGAGGTTCACATTCTCATTCTCACCTTTCATGAAAGCACAAAGGCTTAGCAGGGCAGGTAAACCAGGACACGTGCCAAATAGCTTCCTGGAGTCATTTTTCTCTATGTTAAGTCCATGGAGACACCAAGTAGGCAAATACTAGAAATGGCACAACCTGGAACTATAAAGTGGACTAGGAAGTTCTGGAGACGTTATTCAGGGTGTCTGAAGCTCACAGTTTCTGGGATTTATTACAGCCAACGTGAATCCACGGCTGCAAACAGCAGCTATTTTTTTTACCTCAGTTGGTCAGATTTTCCTAGTGCCTGAAGGTTGACCTCTTAAAAGTTTTTTTAAAAATCTAAAGATGAATAAATATATTTTTGAAGTTTGACTTTACATGTAGACAATACGTTTACGTGATCTTCCTTTTACTGCCCAGGCCTATTTCATCATACCAATCACTACATTCAGAGCCTATGAGGCTATTTTCTCTATATTTCTGAGTTCAGGATGATGGACTGTTTTGTTTGATTGACTGTATTTTCAGCTGACATTAGGTAACAGGTTCTCAGACTGTATTATGAGTAAAGCCCAGTCTGTCAAATAGCAGAACTGCCACTGCCTCTTTCAGCTGCCTCTGTGGGAGTTACCTTTGGTCGTCTGCTGCATTCTGATTGTTGTTCAGGACGATTCTCCACAGATCTGACGACACCAGTTTCTTCTGGTCACTCACAAGATTGACATCCGGCAACTGCAGTTCACAGACTTTGCTTTCCGACAGGCTGAATTCTCGAAATGCAACAAAGACCTTCTGGAGTTCATCCCAGTATTCCAAACTACAAGGGACCTACAGAAAAATAAAGAAAAAAATTAGAAGCTATCAATGAGAAACTGTGGGGGTGGAGAGAAGGCTCAGGGCTCTAGCAGGGGACGCAGTCTCAATCTCGAGCCCCAATACGGCAGCTCACAACTGTCGGTAACTCCAGCCCCAGCAGATACGACACCCTTTTTCCGAACTCTGAGGGCATACACATACATGATGCACAAACAACCACAGGCATATAATAAATAAAATTTAAAAATAATAAAATTAAAACTATGCTCTGTACTCACTGAAATGCAAACTAAACCCTCAGAGAAGTTATAACCTTACGATGTGATAAGATAAAGATCTAAAAGATTGCTGTAGGATACCCTTTTTCAGTTACATTAACCTTGTTTACTCTAGGAGACTCTTCAGAGAAGTCACTCAACCCATGGTCCCCAGACTGACAGCTGGGAAACCAGCATAGGACTGATCCAGACCCCCTGGACGCCGTGGGAGTCAGTGAGGAGGCCTGGGCAGTGGATCAGTATTCATCCCTAGTACAGAATGGACTTTGGGAGCCCACTCCACATAGAGGGATGCTCTCTCAGCCTAGACACACGGGGGAGGGTCCAGGCCCTGCCCCAAATGACATGACAGACTTTGAGGACCCCATGGAAGGCCTCACCCTCCCTGGGGAGCAGATGGAAGATGGGATGGGGGAGCAGTGCAAGCTACTGCTTCTTGAAGTTCTGCTGGTTAGGCATGGCTGTGTGCATACGGAATCCTAGCCCCTGTGAGCTGGAGGAAGCACAACCAGAAGCTCAAGGCCATCCTCAGCTATGCCAAAAGAACAAAACAAAACAGAAAGAAAATCAAGAATAAAGAAGGAAATGAATTCTCTTTTCTTGCTACTCATGGCAAACTTTTCTGTGGCCCGGGGGGATCATTATTGCTACATTCTTTTGTGTTGGAATACCTATTTTCTCACGGTCTCGTGTTTAAACCCTTCCCATCTATCAAAGCCCAAATCAAATGCTACCTTTCCTTGAGCCTTTCAACTCCCCAAATAAAAAATTCTTTCCCTTTTCTGATTGCCAATAGTTGTGTGTGTGTGTGTGTGTCTATTTCATAGATCTTATCACACCCATGTCTTGTTACAGTTATCTCTATACATGACATCCTTTCTGGTAGACACATTCCTTGAGGGAATAATTTCCATTTGGCCAAGCACCTGGCAAGGGTATACGGGAAATGTCGAGAGAGTTGCTGAATGAGTACATAATTCATATGAGGATGAGCAGACATTTACGCACTGAACTGATATGGGTGACTCAGACCATATCAATTTGCTGCAAAAAAGAGCATGGAAAACAAAAGCTTGCACTCTGCAGCCAGAGCTGCCAGGATTTAATTCCCAGCTCCACTTGCTATGGGTTCTCCGGCAAACTGGTTATTCTAACATTACTTCCTCTAAAGGGTGGATCGTGATGTAACAATTCTCATACACTTTTTGTGAGAACGAAATGAGGCAAAATAATTCATTAGGATGTGGTAAGGCCTTAAAGAGTGTTAGCGAGTACTTACTTACTCTTGCCCAAAGAACCCCAGAAGCCTGAGACAATCAGGTAAGCAGTATGTTCTGCTTGTTAGGTCTTTACAAAACTTGATGTATTGAGTGTTCTGCCTGCAGTACGTGCTGGTTCTCCTCAGTCCAGGGGTGCTATTCAGGGAGCTGAGGGAGAGAATGCCACCAGTGGTGTCACCCACCTATGAAAGCCACAAGGAGGATCTGCCACGCTAGGTATGTCCTCTGGAGAATGGTGGCATACGTGTCCTGGGGGTGACCCACTGCTTTCTGACTGGAAATGAGCCTCTTCCTGAGGAGGAGACTCACACCTGGTTCTGTAAACCTGGCCAAGGGCCTGTGCCTGGGGAGGGGCAGACCTACTTTTGCTAATACTGTCTTGTGGAATGGTCATTCTGCCCAACTGCCTTCGGAATACTCGTGTTTACATCGATGCCATGCTCAAGCCCTCAGAGAAGCTTCTCCCTGAAGTAACTGTGGTTAGTGCAAGAACTCAGCTGGGCAAAGAGCTGAGGGTAAGCCATGGGCCACTGCTCAGTCCTGAAGCAGGTATCTGCAGGAGCAGGAGACA